ACCGACGTTTGTTCGACACCTGGGAGGTCAGTGCCCTAGGAACGAGCGACGTTCAGGTCCACTTGGCGTTAACCAAGTGTATCTATACTACTGCGAACGAGCAAACGCCCTCGGCTGATCTACCTCTGCGACTGCATATAAAACTTTTCGCACGTGGGTCGGTACCTCGGTAGGGATACGCCCCTAAGGGTGGTGACAGCCCCTTAGGGAAGGGAAGACGTGCCCTGCGAGAACCTATCCTGTCGTAGGGGACCCCGGGATGTACAGCTGGCGCACCCGGCTACAGCGACGAAGGGGCAATGCAAACGCGTCCGTCTCGGCGGTTAATGGGACTAATTGTGCATCGTCCTAAGTTGTCTCTGATTTTGTTCATTTTAACTTCAGCGTGACATAGCCGGGAGGGCCCTCGCTCACACGGAGGCCGATGCGCTCGACAACGCAATAACTACCGCCGATGCAATTTATCAATGACGATCGTCATTGGGTCTGGCCTCCGCCAAACCCCCGAAATATGTGGTATAGGTTATATTCCTAAGTGCAACACCGCTCAAAGATAGTGGTGGTTTAAGAATAAAAAAAGAAAGAGGAGGGTTGTTTCTCCGTCTCCGTCGTTGATATGGAGCGATGAGTAAGGTCGGAAGGTCGATAGAGATTCCCTAATCAACGACTACCTAATCCAAAAAATATCCTTGAACTTTGTCGTGAGCAATGCGATTTTTTTTCCTGAATCGAAAAGGAGCGCGAACACACGTGGGATCTCGGTTTCGCACGAGGGTTCGACGATGTTCCTCGTCGAGCTCAAAATCGCAGTCTTATTGCTTTCTTGTTGAATTCCTTATCGTCACTTATCTGATAGTTAAACCCCTAGGTTCGGAATCGTTCCGTATGACGACAATCATTGAACAAATATGGGTTCAATGGGGAATAACTGTCAGCCTCCAGATGATAATCAGCTCGTTAAAGGGTAACAAAACGGAATAGGGAGAAAAATGAGCATCGATAAGTGCAAAAACCGACTTAATGAAAAATGATAAAGGTCACTGATTTTGGGTACGACCTCAAGTTCGTGTACATCCCACTTACAAACATGTGTCTTGTCCTGGTTGTATGAGAAAGGTCGTGAGCGGGGATGCTCGAGAAGTGGGCATCCCGATGATTCACCTGGTTTAGTCCACATAACCGATGCATATACAAAACAATATGATTAGCCTCCATTAACTTCGGGGATCGCCTGCATAGACGAAATTAGGGAGTACGATGTGATTTTTATGCTTGATGTTCCTTTACGAAGGGGGATATCCATGAAACTAATGGATGAATTTAGAAATGGATTTTCGAAGAGACAATTACTAGTATCCAAAAGAAAAAAACAAGGATTAATTTCAGGGAGTCACACAAAAAAAAATAGCTACTTCATCCAATCATTCACAAACAATATAAACTAAACATCCCATCATGATATAGAAAATCAATAGAAGGAAAAAATATCCCTAAAGACATTTTTTCAAAATTAAGGAGAGAAAACTACAATGAGGACGTTAGCCGACTGGAGTGCTTCTTGGCTTTAGCCCACATGGGCACAATTAATCTGCTTGTTATAATTCATCTTGCAACTTGAAGAAGTAAAAGATTGTAATGAGAGAGTTACAGACTTTTATTAAATAAGGGTGCGGTGATTGTCCACCGTAAAATATAATAACTACGAAAAAAAAAAAAAAAAAAAAAATAATTCATTCAGCCATCACCTACACCTCGATACATTCGTTCTAAAAAAAAAATGCAAAGGATTGAAAATATATCATCATCTGGTAGAGACATTTATTCGGATGACCAGCCTCCGCCGACACTCGCGTTTTGAAGATTTACGCCCAACGAGATCCTAAAAATGAGAGAGCGGGGTGAGGGGTAAGACTCGAAGACAGTTCCATGCGGTTACATACTTACAACCATTGTGAGTCATCATACACGTACAATCACCATTCACTCATGCATGCATCCAAATGAGAGTGAGAGAAAAAAAACATACACACTAATTTGATTGAGAAGGGAAACATGAGTCTCGCCATTCAACTTGCCAAATACGAGACGAGGAAGAAAATGACAGAAACAAGACTTTTCGCTCCTTAGCTTTGGCCTCGGACCAACTACCCATCAATACACCTTACCTCGCTCGAAAACTGAAGATCCCGACCGCCATATACTTAGTTCTAAATCACAACGATTGTCACCCCGTCAAGTCAACTACTATGAGGATTCGTCCAAAGTTCGTAGTCCGTTGTAGCGATCTAGCATGCAATCCCCTACAGTTGTAACCAACTTGTCAGGAGTTTCCGACTTGCTGATTACCATCTCATCTAGCCTTTACTCCAACAGAGTTAGCAGATACATTGCGAGAGAGCAAAAGCGATACGGTTGCAAAATTTATAGTTGCGAAGGAGATGAAAAAAGGGTGATGATGACAGATAGGAGAGGAGAGGGAATAGAGAAAGAGAAGCAGGAGGGAGAGTCATGTCGATCTCCTCAAAGCACTTCGTAGCCAATCGGATTGAGTAAGGAATTCAGAGCCGCTTTACACGCTGCCGTATGACTTCAAGTTCTACGATTACTTAGCGGATCAACAAGACCTCCTCTCGTGTAAAGGAATGCGGGAAATGAGGTTATAGGAAGTAGTATGAAACAAGACAACGGGACCAAAAATAATTGCAGAGTGAGGAGTTCATAGCCTCCTTACACACTGTCGTATGACTTCCACGATTACTTAGGGGATCAACAAGGCCTCCTCTCGTGTAAAGGAATGCGGGAAAGGAGGTTACGAAAAGTAGTATGAAACAAAACCAAGATTTAAGAGGACCAAGATGAAAGAAAGAGCGCGAAGAGAAGGAGACGAAAACAGTTACAATTTGCAAATGATGGTGCAAAGAAAGGGGGTTGGGGCACAAAGAGATGCATTCGCGTAAAGAAAAAAGGCATCAAAACATTTATGCAAAAGTGTTAGTGAAGTTGCGCCTAATTCATAAACTTAAGCCAAATTGAAATTGAAAAGCTCGAATTAAAAGTATGTGTGCAAGTGCTGAGCCTGAGGCGCACGAATTCCTACGTCGATTCTTATTCTATTCTCCATCAACAAAATTTCACAGGGCTTATGGGGACATCCCCCAAATTTACATGAAAAAAAAAAAAAAAATATTGTGAAGTATTCGAACATGCATTTGTGATCTCTAGAATCTGGAGAAAGTGGAAGAAAAATAATTTCGACCACGCTCAGACGCACGTAAAACCCGAGCGAAAATCGCAATCAAATATAAGGACAATGCATAAAATTACAAAATTGAATGGACAAGATTAACCGATGTGGACTGTCCATCGGAGCCCTCAAAATCAAGGACAAACCTTGCAGATAGCGAGGGCTCGTAAAACCAAAATTACAACCCTATGTTGACGGAGACAATCTGAAGTCCGACATGACCATTTGGCAGGAATGCGATATGAGCCGAGTAGAGGAATTGAAACTGGATTAGTTCGAGCGTGGTCGTCGAAGAAGCTTCAAAAAAAAAAGGAAGGGGCTCATAACCCCGTTCATGCACAAAAACCACTAGTACCTCACCCAACCGAAAAATCTTGATGCAGTCGTTAACGTGCCTCTTGTGTCGGGGGTTGGGGAACATAATGTCCGGACGCTCTTGAAAGACCAGAGGAAATATGGGAAAAGGGAAAAAAAGGCACGTATTTATACGAAAGCGGCCGGGACCCACATGCGCCGTGTAGTTTAGTTGGGCGGCAGCGGGTGGCGTCGGGCGGCTGCGGGCAGCGAATCCTGAATGCATGATGGACCCGGATCGGACATGCGCACAGTCAACCCGCGCGGATGTGAGAAGAGCGCGGGGTTTCCGAGTCTTTCGGATATTTGTATCACATTTGTATCCAGGCGAGACCATGTTCTGCGTGGTAGAAAGCTATTCCAAGAAAAGTGCGATTGCTAACGACCGCGGTCCTCTGCGTTGATTGTTTTGGTTGAAAGTCCGTGATTTTACCGCCACTTTGAAGTTATGGAGGGATCTTACTGTGATTTTACCGCCACAAAACGGAAGATGATTCGAATTGAGGTTGGCCACCAACCACCGGACGCCATGCCCCACTTACAGCCAAGCAGTTTTCTGGATTTTCCCGCCCCCCACACGTCGCACACTGTAGAAAACTACAACTACACGGTGCATGTGGGTCCCGGCCCCGGGTTGGTAGGTTAGACAGGTTAGGGGTAGGCTAGGAAGCAGCCTGTGAGCCGCGGGGTCTATTGAAAACAGGCCGGCAGGCCATTTGTTGCTTGTTAGCTAAGCTGGATGATGCTTCCAGCACAACTGTTCTTCGAGCGGGGGCAAGTAATGTTGAGGACCCCGGCCTCAAATTGCCAAAGGGATGGAATTCGAATTCTGAGGGGAAAAAATGGAAAACCGCAACCACCAGTACCTTTGACGGTTCGAAAATACTCGGCCTCCGACCTTTCAGGAGGCCGAAACGAAACGACGGCCGCCGTTGTCGGGGGGTACTGGCCAGTACCACGTCGAAAATAGGCTCGGACTGTTGTCGGGCCCGGCCTCCTAAAAGTTCGGGTACTGGCCAGTACCACGTCGAAAATAGGCTCGGAGGTACTGGTGGTTTGTGTTCCCAAAAAAAAAAAAATATACAATCCTTAATGTATCGGACTGCATTCACGGCCGCTCTGTCATGTATATGACCACAATTACGTCCATAAATAAAATACGTGATTAAAAAAAAACAAAAAAAAGGCCCTACGTGTTGCGAGTATGCCCTAAGCGCAGCCAAACTGGATACCCGACGGGGGGAAGGACGGGCGGACGGGCGCACGTGTGGGCGGGCGAACACCGCAGAGGGTAGCCGGTTTTGGGAGAGTGGCTGACAGTGTTCCCCGCGCGTTTCACCCTCAGTACCCCCTCAGACTGGGGCGTGGCTCATTACGGCCTAAGGGGAAGTGTTCTGCGAGGACGCGCAGTCAAGCCCAGTGCTTCGTCTTCACAGCATTGCGCCACGTGGACAACGGGCGCACGTGGCCTTGGTGACGAAAACTATGGCGGCCATGGCGGGAAGAAGGTGTACGCGGACGGTCATCCGTTCCATCTCTGTGGTGTTAGAAAGGGGCAGCGGGGGTCCGCTTCCCGCAGGCGGCATTTCAGCCGCCGCGACGAGAGAGAGCCACGTGTCGTGCCATGCGCGCGCGTTCGGCCAATTGCAGCTTCAGAGCGGATCCGCCGGCGATGCTTCTGCTTCTCCTCCCTTGGCGACGGCGGCTTCTTCTTGCTCCTCCTCCCCTCGCACGTTCTCCACCTCCCACGTGCCAGGAATGACAGCCGCGTGTCGCCGCGTGGTCAGGGCTCATCCACCTGCAACGTGGCACTCTTCCTCCTCTCTGACGCAAGGCCGCCGTCAAATCGCTGGCTGGACCAGTAATCGAGCCGCGCAGGAGTTGTATAATCGACATCGCCAGATCGTTGTGCTAAACGACAAAGAACCGGATGTAGCTGTTGATGCTTACGTGGCACCCAATGCGACGCTGATTGGTGACGTGGAAATCGAAGATCGGGCCACGATTTGGTATGGTTGTGTGTTGAGGGGCGACCTCAGCAAAGTCAAGGTGGGGTTCTACTCCAGCATTCAGGAGAAGAGTGTGATTCACAGCGCGCCGAAGTCGGCGGGGGTATCTTCCTCTGTTGCGTCTGATACCGTCATCGGGCGATACGTGTCAGTAGGAGCGGGGTGTACCTTGCGCGCTTGCACAATCGAGGACCAGGTGGTCGTCGGCGACCGCTGCGTGGTGATGGAAGGAGCGGTCGTCGAGAAGAATGCGATCCTCGAAGCGGGGTCTGTCGTTCCGCCCGGTCGTTTGATTGGCGGGAAAAAGTTGTGGGGGGGAAACCCTGCCCGATACGTGAGAGATCTGACGACCGACGAGATCGCCGCGATCCCGACGTTATCCGTGGCAATGAATACAGTGGCAGGAGAGCACGCGTCGGAGTTCCTGCCTTACTCTTCAGCGTACTTGGAAGCAGAGGCGCTCAAGGAGTCACTTGCTGGGAAAGCCACCGCCACGTGACATCCATCATCATAGGATCGATCGGACGTGTCTGATTAATCAATCACGTGGCTCAACAACCCGTGTCCAATTAATTAATCAATGAATCAGCGGCTTAATCACACGTCCAATCGATCATCGGGTTCGATCGAGGCACGTACGTATAATCAATCAATCAGAGGTCTAATCGTGCGTCTAATCAATCATCATCGGGTTCGATCCCGCGTCTGAAAGTCAATCGAAGCAATCAGCGGCTTAATCATGCGTCGAAGTAGTCATCAGCGTGTTCGATCACTCGTCTAATCAATGGACGGGTTCGATCGTTGGTGATGTCAATCATTGGTGATTTCATTACGTGATGATGGTGATATGATGATATCAATCATCGGGTTCCAGCAGATGAGAAGGATCATCGAGTGTTCGGAGACTTCTCTCTTGCTTGATTCCCCCCCCCCCCCCCCCCCCTCCCCCCCTTCCTTCTGGTCTGTAATTAGGACGATCGGGTAGACGAGGAAAATTATAATGTGAGTAGAAGTGTAATCAAATTCCTCCTTTTATCATCAGCCCGACCCAAAATCAATCAATCAATCAATCAATCAGTCAATCAATCATCAATCGATTGTTCAATCAATCAATCAATCAGTCGATTGTTCAATCAATCAATCACGTCAGTCAATCAATCAATGCAGCTCATGATAGATGTTTGTAAACTGCACGGCGTCTGTTACGTTCATTGTGCTCTTTTTTTTCTTGTTTTTTTTTTTTGAGGGGGGAGGGGAGAGGGAAGGGAGGAGGGATGCTTACTTGCTGTTTCTATGTGAATTGCGGTGGGTAACTTCAAAATCTTTCTGGCTATCGTTGTCTATCAATGCTCTCTGCCTATTGTAGAGAAACAACTAATCGATGTGAGAGAGAGAGAGAGA